TGCACTTGACCCACGAGTTATCGTCAAACGAAGGGATTCCGGCAGCTTGTCGAGTATTTCCGGAACAACAATCGTAGCATACGAACTTTCGTCCACTCCCAGGGTATTCAGACCTCGGCAGTTTGTCTCACAGGCATGGTACAATTCCCGTAGTCGACGCACATCTCGCTCGTTGTATACTGGTTTTATGTTCATCAACGCTTGAATATGGGCTCTCTGTATCGCCATGCATTTTCTTCCCATATCGTGTCTTCAGGAGTTCTAATGCTTCTTTATAGTTCGTTGCTGTCAACGTGAACCCTGCGATAGTTGTCTGCGCGGGACCAACCAGTAGACCTTTCAAATACGCGAATTTATCTACATCGGATAAAGCGTCATTCTGGTTGACCGAGCTATCAAAAGAGTCCCAAAATTCTTGCCACTCTTGAATTTTCCTATTAAATCTTTTCACCTCTAACTTTGGGAGCCTTGCGCGAACAGTCTGTTTTGGTGTAGCGTTCATACTCAGATTCGATGGTGTACTTTGACCTTGTGGTAGTGACGGCAAGGCTTCGAACAATGCGTCATTCACGTCGAGAATGATTTTTTGTAATTCAGCTCGCGTATCATCTGTCTCCTGAATTTCTTTTTCCAGCTGTTGTTCTGCGTCTTCGGCTTCGCTATTACTTAGTACCTCGACAATCTCGTTATCTAAAAGTTTCAAGGCTTCGAGTTTCTCGCTCAGCGTGTCTCTCAGCTGTTTCAGCACATCCTTGTCCGTTTGAGGCGTTTCACTCGTATTCGCTAAACATTCTTTTATCTTCGTCCCTATCTTCGTTGCTGAACCTCTGTGCGCTGCGCGTGTTCTTCTTTTCTTTGTCAGCTCGTCCAATGGCATTGTCGTATCTATCTATCTCGATTCTTTCTTTCGAAATCGATCCGGTTCGCATGGACCAATTGTTGCACTTTTCTGTCTTACACCGCAAGACAGTTGCGCTTCGTGGGGACTGTATACTATCAGAACAATACCATCGGAAATAGAACACACACGCGTACTTTAAAACATATTTATTTAAAACTATTCAATCGATAAAATATATAACAAACAATCCTTCTTGTTTTCTCTCGTGCTTTCCGTCTGACAATCAATTCGAAGTCTATTATACGATACATTTCTTACGTCAATCAACTAAATCACCCATTGTTTGGTCTCCTACGGCGTTATTAATAGTATAATGTTACAAATTATTCTACAATATTTGCTACGTTGCTACATTTCCTACATATAATAGTTGGTATGCATGACCATATATTTGCTACGTTGCTACATTTGCTTCAGTTAATAGTTGGTGTGCATGACTATATATTTGCTACGTTTCTACATTCGCTACAGATAGTAGTTGGTGTACATGCATGGATTGACTATATATTTGCTACGTTGCTACATTCTCTTCAGATAATAATTGGTGTGCATAACTATATATATTTGCTACTTTGCTACATTCGTTTCAGACAATAGTTGGTGTTCATGACTATATATTTGCCACTTTGCTACAGATAATAGTTGGTGTGCACGACTGTATATTTGCTACGTTGCTACATTCACTTCAGATAATAGTTGGTGTGCATGCATGACTATATATTTGCTACGTTTCTACATTTGTTACAGATAATAGTTGGTGTACATTATTTACTACGTTGCTACATTCGCTTTAGATAATAGTTGGTGTGCATGACTATATATTTGTTACGTTGTTATATTTGATACATGTCTGCATGTAACGTGCTCGCATATTTTCTACATTTGTAAGTTTAATATTAACATATCCTCCAGCGTCGAAGACGGTGTTTCTACTGCATGTGAAATACCCGAAAGACAGGCGAGGTAAACGCGAGGTTCACCGACCAGCACGCAGCTTATTGGCCTGCCATTTAATTTAAGTCGATCAGAAATTATTGATAATTAACTGCTTCGAAAATATCTTAGCCAATAGAAATTGCCCTTCATGGGGCTGCAGGTTAGGGATGTACCGTGTTCAAACTCGTTACCAGTTTCTCAAAATATTATTTGCTATATTCGAAAAATCTGGACATTCTCATCTGGCGATTTCGATAGACCAAAGCGAAACTGAACAATTATTACATCTCTGTTAATTCTGGTGATTTTGTTGGCGCGAAAAGCTGATTGAACAAAGTCAAAGAGGTAGGAAAGATTTTATCAGTGTTGTTTGGGTTTCGTATGTCAACTGCGTAATATGGTTAGGCGGTTTTGGCGCATTTGAGAAGGGTGGTTTTCGGATATATGTCGATTATCCTGGCGGTTTACGGTGAAAAAATAATCACTTGGTAATGGAAATAGTTGAGGATAGACTATATTACATAAGTCATAACCTGCATTTGAAGATTGGTTGCCAGATCACATATACATTCTAATGAAACATAGTAAATTTGTCATTGAGTATATCTGTTGTAAAAAAATGGTCAAAACCTGTATGGAAATCCGCGGAACTGGAGTTCGTAAATTATGGATACATTCTTACGCAGAATACAAAATGGCTTACTATATGCAGTGTTGAAACTGTCAATTTATTATCGTTACTATTTGAAAGTATCAAATGAATCATCTTGGGTGTGCATAAAGTGCAAGCCATGCGAGGCACCCAAAACTAGCGAATCTCACATGAATACAACAAAACAAAATAAAGGAATTATATTTATTTTTACTTCGCAAATTACCTACAACTACAAGGTCCAGGATCTTAATAATGTGCTTTTAACAATGGTTTTAAGATTAATATAATTTAATTGACGAACTATCATTAAAAAGCAGATTAGACTAGTTATTGAAAAAAAAACCTTGAGACGACTATCTCTCTATCAGTCCAAATTATGGCAAATAAAAATATTTCGAAAGTTCCGTAAATCTTTGTTGAGCTTTGCCTTGCCAGGCTATATACAAAGTCTTGTCTTCGGTGATGATTTGCCCATGCAGAACATGGCCATGAAAATAGGAGAGTTCATTTACTGCAATGCACACGAAATTCAAGTCCGTATTTTATACACAAAGAGCACTGCAAAACTATAAAAAAAAAGTTAACTGGACAAATTTTTTAGCTTATCTTTCTTGACTCACGGATACTCCGTAGAAGTTTTTGTAAGTTTTTTTGCTATCAACCACAGAATCAACAATTTCTTTTGTTTTCTCCCAGCCTGCTTTGCGCGCTTGGAATCGATCATACCAGTTTAGAATGCTTCATGATTGGCTGTTTTCACAACGCTTGCAAACATCGTGCCACCGTGCATGCTTTTGGATGAATTTCCATGTCTGGATTTGATATATTGCGGTGACGATTGACTTTTTGCTGCGCGTTATCTCTGGTTTATGCGCCCACTAAGGACAAAAATACAACTGTTCGATTCAGGGAAAACAATTGTTCTTATACGAATGTCAAATGTATTAACTAAACAACATTATTCTACCGATATATGGCCTTTGAAAATCAAGCTAAATTGTATTGTTGACATTTGACAAATCGCTCAAATTAAACTAATTAAAAATGCAGTACGTTTGATCCGGCTGGTATCGTTGGTTTCGTCGTTTTCGGCCGTATACCTGTCGATTTGTCTTACTTTTTCTTCATTTTGATTAATTTGATAGTATTTTGAGTCCAAAATATTTTATTTTGAAGGCGTTAAAGCGTAGTTTTAATAAGCGAAATTGTATTGTTGAGAAATCGCTTACAAAATTATCAAACTAATTCTTAGTACTGCAGTACGCTTGATCCATCATAACTTAATTTGGTATCGTTGGTTTTCGCTTTTTCGGCTGTATGCCAGTGGATTCTTCTCACTCTTCTCTATATTTTGATAATGTTTTATTTTGAAGGTTCTAAAGCCATTTTAATCCCAGCATACCGACACAGTGATACCGACCAACTGGCGACTAATAAATATAAGTAATCCCCGAGCCAACGGCGCGGAGCGCCGTTTCGAGCGTTAGCCGGGCGAGGGTACTAATTCCCCCCGGCTATTTACACCCGGGGAAAGGGAAGCATTAGCCAAGTCTAAAGTTCATCAATAATCGCGAGCGTCGGTCACCAACCGCGGTGGATGGTCATCCTCACTGATCTCAAAATATGGCTATTTGCCAGGAATGGGATAAGCAAGACTTCGATTTCAAAAGCATTTATTTAGAAAATCATGTTTCACACAATGAGCTTTGAAGCAATTTTTGTTTCAAGAAATGAGAATTGATTTACTATGGGAATCGTGAAATATAGGGCAAGTTTGCTTCGAATGTTGAATGTTTATGAATTTTGTTGATTTAATTGCGTAAAACGTGCACTGCTTTCCTTTTCAATAAAGCTGTACTAAAGTTTGCTAAATTACCCTGTTTAATTTAAAAAAAGGTAAAAAGGGAAAGCAAATAAATTTGAAAACCGAACTGAAATTACTTACCAATTTGAACTTATTTTTTTTATAAAGTAAAAACAGTTTATCGGAATAAGCAGTATATAGTTTAATACTAGAAAATACATGCATGCAGAAACCCTCGCCTTGCTGACAAAACCATTGCATTTTCCGAACATGAAGTATCTAAAGTAATTGTCATGGTAACACGATAATTTCTTAAGAACATTCTTACAAATGAAAAATCACTTAAAAATATCACTTTGAATTTCAAAATTATCAATTTCCCAACATATATATGTTAGGTATGATATTATACGTAATATAAGCTTCAATTTTATAAGGTAAAATTCAACCACAAACACTTCGCAAAACGTTTTAAAGTGTTCTTTATAAAACTAAACTGCCTTTATTCATTAATTAAATGGCTTTAGCAATCAGTTTTGCCTTTG